AATTTTTAAGGAAACATGGGTGTATCTTACTATATTAGCAAATCAAGAGCTTTCAAGTATTGAAAATTTCTAAACCATCCAATATATGCCACCTCCCCCTTTCTTTCTCTTATATTACACACATAAGAAATGCAAATGCAACTTAAATGACAGAAAGGTATACAGCAACTGCTACAACTGTTCTTTAATCAGTGTATTTCATTATGATCAATAGTATAACAGTGTTTGATGAATACAAATAATCATTTATTTCATACCTCTAAGGAAGAGGGCCTGTTTAGTGCTTCATAGTTTAAAAAGATGAATTTTTAAAAGATCTTTTTTTCACTTTTAATGTTTTTCATTATGACTATAGGTGAGATTTTAATGAATATGATTTATTATTCTTAGTTGCAAAAGAATCTGCCTTATTGACACTAAAAAGATCTCAAAGAACCATTGTAAGAAAGAAATCAACTATCTTGCAACAACTTTTGTCTGTCCTGACATCTGAGAACCAGTTTTGATTTTTTAACTGCAAAATAATTCTGCTGACTTGTAATATACTTCAAGACTTAATGTGTTTTAATATTTCTTGCTATAAATACTACCAAGGCCCCAACATTACTAGGGCCACCCTGTGTTAAGTGGATAGCTGAAGCAAAAGCTGCAGATGAATCCATGTATGGAAAACAAAAATCAAAACAAATGACCCTATTTCAGTTTCATTCACAATGACTCTGATCTCACAGGAAAGCAAAGCACTCTAATACAAAAGATCTACAAATTTCTCCAAAAAATCCATCCAGACTGACGATTTATGATAGCACCAAAGAGATACAATAAAGTGGTATGGGTTTTTTTCAGGTTTCATTATTTATTACAAAAACAATACATTTATGAGATCAAAAAAGAAATCCAGCAATAAAAGTGTCTCTATATCAACCAGGGCTCTAAACTGTCAACTTCTTGGTGCATATTTCTCCAGAAAATTTCAATGCATATACAAACATATGTGTATTTTCTTTCCTGGAACAATGGGACTATGCCATACAGCATATTTTTAAACTTTGTTTTTCCTGAAAAATTTTGTCTAAGAGATATTTCCAAAGCTTCACACATGGAGCAACATCAGTGACTGGAAAAGCTATAGTGCTCCATCTCAGGATGGATGGTGCTTGGGGAAGACTCCAACAGGGGTGGCAGACAACTAGCCACCAAGTCCTTGTGTGCATTTGAACTTTTTTTTTTTTTTTTTGTCTTTTTCCTTTTTATTGGTACCGGGGATCGAACTCACAACTACCTGCTTGCACGGCAGGTGCTTATGTCGCTGAGCTAAATCCTCGGCCACATGAACTTTTATTTTTAGATAAGTTATAGTATGAAAATTATTTAGTGAGGAAAAAAATATATACATACATATATGGAGTGAGAGAGCATGCCAAAAATGTATACACCAGGAGAAGAAAAAGTTCTCTAAATATTGTAAAATTAAATTTATTAAGAAATTGTAAGATTAATACAAGTTCCCTTCAGCCTCTACAAGAGGTGCTCACACTGGTGGTCATCAGCTTCCAGACATTTGTTAGTACAGTGAACTGCTGAAGCACATACACACTATATATCTATGTCTGTATCCATCTGTCTATATCTTTCAAATTGGCCTTCAGAAAGTGTGTATCAATTTATACCTCCACCAACAAAATATGCCTTTTTCTATATCTCTGTGTTCAAACACTGTTCAATTTTCTATTGGGCTGCTCTTCATTTTCCTAAATACAGGTTAAAGGTATTTATATATTAAGTTGTAGAGCTACAGAAGCTAAAGGAATTTGATCTCAGCAGAGGACAAAACACGTGTATTAATGGCTTAATAGAGATTAGAAAAAAAGACTTGAGTGCCTTAAGGCTTTCAGAAAGTGATATTTCCTTAGACAAATACCTGTGCACAGATGTTGAAACCAGTTATTTTTAAGTCTGTTCCTTAGCTCTGTTTGTAACATTCTTCCTTCAGATATTCAAATTTAATAATGTTTCTCTGTAAGTCAGCTAGATTTTGTGTCTTATTTAAAAGGGTTAGCTTGTCATTGAAACCAACTCATAGGTCAACAAATTACCCAAATTTTCTCCTGGTGATGATGACTTTAAATCCTAACTCCTGCGACTTATTTAACGAAAGAGATAGATTTAAAGCTCCATTCCTTCACTCTGTCTTAGTCTTTCTGTCTACCTTGTCTCAGCTCAGAAAATGCATTAGCTTTTTCCTATATTGTGGAAAACTTTATTGTTATCACTTTCTGAAAGCCTTAAGGCACTCAAGTCTTTTCATCTAATCTCTATTAAGCCATTAATACACGTGTTTTGTCCTCTGCTGAGATCAAATTCCTTTAGCTTCTGTAGCTCTACAACACATTTATGAAGAGCGAGGTTTCTTTATTACTGTTTCAGGATTCGTTCATTACTATTTTCTCACAAAAGTTGATGACCTTAACAACTCATTTATAAATAGCAGACATTTTAAAACTGTTCACCCTTTATATTCAAGACCAATACACATTTTTCTATATACTCAAGCAGTGGTTTTAGTTTTTACATTGGCTTGTTTAAAAGTACAATTTAAAAGTTTTCTTTGTAAAGTTGGGAATGACCTACCTCAGTGGGAGAGTGCTTGCCTAGTGTGTGTAAGATCCTGTGCACACATGCACACACACAGATCCTGACTTTTTTTTTCTGTTTAAAATTCTGCATCTATATATTTTCTTTAAATTGATATTAAAGTGACATCATGTATTGTATTTTAATTTGAATTGGCTATCTTACACTGATTTTCTTCAGTGACTTGTCTATATTCTTCATAATTTTGTATGTTTTCCCTTTGAGACTGCAATTATTTTGCAGAAATATACAAGTATACAATATATCATTCATAATGACATCCCACTCGCATCATAATATTTAACTTGTAAATTATTTGTGTTTTCTAAGAACATGAGTTAATAGGTTAAAACAATACCAAATAATGTTAGCATCCGTGGACATTTTTGGCCTTCTCCTGTGTGGATAAAGCATTTACATGTACATAGCATATAAATATTAGGGTGTTCATATTTGCTAGTTTAATTGTAAAATTTCAGGTGAGAATGAAAAAGGATGATAACTATATTGTGCTTGACTCCATCGCTGCACCTGCAGAGAACCAAGCATCCCTGGGTCTCCCAAATCTAACCTTACTTCCTTCCATATTTTAGTTTGCAGTAACTCTTAAAAGGTATTTTCAATGATTAGTGTGTGAAATATTGATTACTTTTGTGTAGAAGTATAGAAAAAAATGTTTTACGGAAAGAAAATCTGTGGAGTGTGTGTGTGTGTGTGTGTGTGTGTGTGTGTGTGTGTGTGTGTGTTAGCAACACAGCCTTAGGCTGGCAGAAGTGCTGAACATCACAGTTGTGTTTTTAATTGGTAATTTCTCAATACTGGCATTCTCATTACTTGGTAAAGGGAAATCTGACAACGTCGTGACTCTCATTTTAGCTTTCAGGATATCTTTCTTTCTCTTCGGACCATTAAACACGTATGCTTTTGAAATTTTTACAAATAAATGAGTGGAAATAAACAAAACTCAACTCACTTGAGATTTCGAAGACATCTGGTGGAGTTATTCTCAGAGTAATTAGACCAAGAGGTAGATCAATTCCCTGAAGAAAGCTACCTTACCATTGGACACTTACCCTGATATTTCTGCAGTCAGCAGCTTACATGAAATGAACATATTGATTCCTAAATTGACAAGCAATTATGCAGGATTGCCACCTGATATTTCAGGACTATCTATGTTATATAAATATATGTTCCATGTAAGTTGCCTTTTCTAAGTTCTCTCATGGTCTATTCTACTTATTTTCCATCTCCTCAATACAGTATATATGTTGCTAGAGAGAATGAAGGTAAATTGCCTTTACAGAGCTGAACTGTGCTCAGCTTTGGTTAATCCAACACTTGGAGAAGGGCAAGTAAAAGCGGATCAAGATGGGATATCTATGTGAACCACTGATGAATATATTCATTATGCATCACAAACATATACTAATAAAAACACTAAAAAAGAAACTAGCTTGGAAATTTTCATGACTAAAGTAGTAATACTTAAAATACATGTCTTATAAAGTCCTTGACCTGGAAGATATCTGAATATTCCCCTCCCTGATGGAAGAAAAACTTAAAAAATCATACACTATAGCTTTCCAATTAAAGAGAACTACTACTGTCTTACAATAAACTGTTACCCAGAAAGTATCCTGTACCATCAGTATACTCCCCAAAGGTTATTAAAAAAATCTACATCACTTTATTTACCTTAATATTTTATTATTATTTACAGAAATAATGAAATCAGAAGTTCTCATTATGATGGTATCAGTGACCGAGACGGAACCACATAGAGACCTGCCTGAGCCCGTTTCCTGCTCTCGGATCTCATACACTCCTCCAGCACTCAAATCAACGCCAGATGAGAGGTAGAAAGCTAGGATTCATTTGTGTATGTAGGCTAAGAATACAGGATATTTTCAATCTACAAAATTTACAAATTCTTTAAGAAATATATGTGCAATGTAAATAGGTTAACACTTGGCAGTAAAGTCAATAAGCAAAATTTATTCTTAGTTGAACATGCTCCCAAGATCTCAGGATATTTACAACTGACAACCATCCAAGATAAATTCAAGGATGTCTTTCACCTGGACACTTAACATGTTGAGATTAGTCTATCCCTTCACATTTTTTATCTTGTTAAGCACAAATGATGTTTTCATTTCAGGTAGTCCAGCAGAAATCAAGTCAAGATTTATGTATTATGTTTCACTTTGCAATGCATGGATTGAGACCACCAAATCCTAACTAAAATCTTTTTGCCCAAGGGTAATAATGCTATTTCAGTGTCATTAACTGAAACAGCAGTATGACAACAGGCAGAAGGAAACAGTGACGCTTCAACTTCAATCTGACTACCACAGAAGACTCACCAGAGGTTTCATCCACTCTCTCATCCACGATGTGATCCTTCTGATGCACCCACTCACTGTTGCACTTGAAGTATATCTGGGTGGCTGGGCTGGCTTTACAATACAGGTTCACAGGCTTATTTTTCACAATGTAAGCTTCTTCAGGCTCAATAAGGAAATGTGGCAGAGGTTCAGGTGGGTCCGATGGAAACGTTTCCGGAAGTTCATGAAAAAAGTCATCATCTGGTAAACAAGAAGAAAGTGAAAAAATAGTCAGAACATAATAACTTGCAATTGATTTTAAAATAATCCTTTAATTAAGTGACTTGAATGTCTGTCTTGTGTTAGGTGTACTTCTTAGTTGATCAACTAAGGGTCTAGATCATTACTATTCTCATTTCTGCACATGTGAAACTCAACAGCAGGGAGAATAAGTTGTTCAAAAATCACAGGTAGCCAATAGTAAAACAGGAATAAAAACTCAGGTCTGTCTTACACAAAAACTGTGACCTCTGTAATAATTAATGCACTTCTTAAAATATATTCATTCTTAAAAGCTGAAAAAAGAAATAGCATTAGATAAATTTGTTTGAAAAGTATGAGGTTCATTGGTAAACCTTAAAAGTACTAGAAAAGCAAATTAAAGATCTCATCAAAAGTTGGCACAGTGTGAAACATTCATTCAGCAAAAAGATATATTTATTAAGTCCAGAATCATTCTAAGCACTGGAAATACAAATACAACAACATTGAGTCAATCAATTCTAGAGTCATAGTAGGACTAAGCTTCCAGGCTATTTGGTTTAGTTTTGAAACTACATTAAAATGCCACACAACGTCATATAACTAACAAACCTATTCTCATTAGACTGTTACTGAAGATTATCACAAAGAACCACATAATCATTTCCCAGCACACAAAATTAATATGTATACTGCTTTGATTATGACATTCCAAGTCAACTGAATAACCCTAACCTAAAAATTATTTGAGATATGCATACTTGTATATTTTAAACTTGGATGTTGTATGATTCCAAATTAAAAAAATTGTACACATCCCTTTTTGTAAAACTAATACCAGTTTTACAGAAGTCAAGAGAAGATCCTTTCAAATACATTATTAAAAAAGTAAACATGATAATTATTTTCCTATAAGGGATAGAGAAAATACAACCATTATTAATTTCATATATATGCTAATATTCAGGGTTAAAAATCGCAGGTTGAATTTAAAACTTACAAGTTCCTTAAAAGCACATAAACATATTCAGTTGTAAAGGTACAGAATCGGTACTTAATGCTGCTGAAACTTATTTCATTACTCATTCAGTAGTTGGCCCACTTTGGAAGACATTGGTGAAGTGGACATCTGTCCACTAAGAAACCTGGCCAGGACCTTTCCCATCTAGGTCACAGAATGACTATCTAATAGTAATGGCATTCAGCATCTGCTAATCTGTTTCATAGTAAAAAGTGGTTTCACTTGCATCCATGGGCCTAAGTAGTTTTCATGAAACGTTGGCATGAAAGTAGTGTCTCCTGCAACTGGTTTCCTCCCCCGCCCTCACTTTACCTCCTTAATTCGCTTTCTTCTGGAAGGATATTATTTTTAGCTTTTTCCACTGCTGAACAACAAGGACACAAACTGACAGCTTCCTAAAGCATAACCTTGTTGCTACCAATTTCAGTTCTTTTGGTCAACATGCAAGAACACTCTGGACTGCTTAAGTAAACACAGCTCAGGAAGGTAAAAGGCAGAGGAACTGAACTACTGACAGATTCATCACAACATAACTAATGCTTGAAGGCCTTCTCCAATCTTTTTTTCTTCTAAAGCACTTAGTATTCTATGCGATGATAGGTAATGCTGATGATCAATAAAGCTCCGTAAAACATAAGGCCCATCTTCCACAGAAGATCATCTACTGCATTTAATTATTACCACTCATGAAGCCAAATGAAATGGCAAACTAGACTTCTATTGTGGTGTATGATTCTATGCACAAAAATGTGAATGTGCTTAATAACTATATATTTATTTCAACATGCAAAGTATGAAAAGCTTTATTTTCAGCCATGAAGTGAAATTTGTTTCTGTTCCTTTAAAAAGTATGACAAAAAGGCACCACGTGTTTTATTTAGTAATACAGCCCAAGTATGTATAATTTCACATCCTATGGAAAGAGTTCATAAAGTTACTAAACATTGACTACCTTGACTTGCATATCAGACTTGTAGTCTGATTATTTTATTGTAAACTATATGAGAGATGAGCAAGTTATGCATATACTTTCAAATCAAAAGGGACTCTATTAAGTACTGGGGTAAAACTAGTGATCTAATAATATATTTTAAAATGTATGAGCAAGCTAACTTTGTATTTAAGTTTTAACCAAAAATGATCACTACATACAAAGATAAACCTGTGATTTTAGGCTTCACATGTTATTGATTTTTCAAGATACCTATTAATAACTCAAATGAAACTATAATGCTTTAAAGTATGCATACATTTGTCACAAAGAAATTCACTATTTCATTTAGTTGCGATGAACTAATAAAAAAGGAATTGTGTTTTCTTTGTGTGCTAGGTCTAGTGTTTGTATACCTGCCATTCTAGTTTCTGAGGAACTCTTCCTCTAATATTTCTCTAGAGAGCTAATTTAACCAAGAATAGCACAGTAGTTCATTAGCATTTCTTAGTAATAGTCAGACAGTAAATTCCAGGTTATGGCCTAGAAGATGTCATATTAATATGGCATATCAATTCTAGTACAATTGACATGATGTTTGCAAAGAAAATTCAAGACCTGAAATTAGCACATATGTGTAGTGGAATAAACATAATGGAATCCAGATGGACTGGTTATTAGTGGGCTTATGGGATGTTGTGAAATCCTTGTCTTCTCCACTTGCTACACATGATCTGAAAACTCTTCCCACAATGAAGAGAACTCCCCACTGTGGCATGCTAAGACAACACTTTATTCAGTTCCTCTCTATGAAAATGCCACACACTGGCAATAATTTTCACCAAGTGGCATTTTAGAAATTTTACCTGTAAGTTTTCTTTTCTACTGTATCTGTGTATATTTAATGAGGAAAACAATGATCCATTGAAAATGTCATGTACTCCATATGGGTATCTATATGCTCTGGACCATGTATTTGTTTCTAAAATAAAAGGAGGAATTTAACTGCAGGAAACAGTTTCATGCAACTCTTACTAACTTTCTAAAAACCAGAAGTACATAACAAACATTTAACACTAGAGCGAAAACTCTCTGAAGGTAGGCCCTGTGTTGTTTTTCATTTTCCTAAATCTAGTATAGTACAAGGCCTATTTTAAAAAGTTAACAAAAACCTTGCAAAAGCATTAATATTAATCTTAACGATAGCAATTTTTATCATTTGTAGACTATTCATGAGGTATCTTGGAGTTTATAGTGCCTTAAAATCATTTACAAATTGGAAATAACTGTAGTTATATCCACAAACAAGAGTGGTCATAAAACTTATGTGGGCCTGTGCAAAACGAAATTTCAGAGACTCATTAAAAATGTATTAATAATTTTGAAATGGGGACAACATAAATTAAAATGAAGTCCTAGTCCCTTGCGACAACATAGGTCACCTAGCCACAAAGTGAGCCCTGTCTGTCATGTCAGGAAACTAAGCATATCACTTTATAAAAAGTCTGACAAGTGAAATCAGTAGACATCCATTTCAGACCATATATGGTGCTTCCCATATTTTTATTGTGATTGAATGTAATCATGTTGTTTTCAGGCTGAGAAACTCAGCTCCCACCCATTCTCTAAGCAAGCGTATTTGGAGCAGTGTGCAGGAGAAGATGGGTGACTTTATCTGTGCCTGGTCTCTCCCTAGGCTACACTCCAGGGCTCATCCAGGGCCCACCCCTGCCACCCAGACACAACATCTCCAGGGCCGCTAGAGGACCATTTAGTGCATGGAGATAAGAATATTTGAGTGTCTACTTTGATTGGATAGACTACCGTTTTACATGTAAACCACTCTTCTGATATTATTAAAGTCATGCTGCAAAGCTTGAAGCTATAAAAGAACAATTTTGGCTTTTTTCCACAGGGAGATCAGTGAATGTGTCTTCTTATCACTTTATTTCTTAATATAAATATCTGAAGCGGTGATAACAGTGATAATAGGAACTCAATTTGTGAACAACAACTTCAGATGGTGAATTTATTTCTAGCACCGTATTACAATTATCTTAAATTGTTATATTTTATAAAAATGCTTAACTTCCCTGCTGATAGCGACTGCATTTTGCTATTTGGGCTAAATGAACTGAATGACAAAATTGCTAAAAAGGTTTTCTACAAGTAGTTCATTCAAATTAACAAGGTAGAATTTCTAAAATAGTTTTTTTTCTGTACACTGACTTCAGTATTAATTTCAAGTTATAATTGTCTTTTCTGATTTAGATGTAGCATTGTTACTCATTTTTCTTCCAACGTTTGTCTTAATTTTCTGCTTCCCACTATTACTCAACAATGACATTCCAACAGTAGTACCATTTTTAATCTTGATATCAGTAAATCTCAGTATTTCCTTTTCTCTTATCTCCTACAGGCATTTGCTTTTTCATTTTTATACAAGAAAAGAAAGCTTTGCACCATGTATTATTTTTATAGGCTTTCATTGTATGTAATTCTTGACAAGAAAATATTATGTTATGAACATCAATCTAGGAAGCTAGTTTTATTGCTATATATCAAGCCTTAATTTTCATGAATTTAATACATAAGTTTCTACATTTCTGAATCATAAGACTTAAAATATTATTGCTTATATCATAAAAATAGGACCATTATCTCTTTGTCTGAGACTTGAAGCATATTCTTTTGAAATGGAATTTACTTTCAAATGATTCAAGAGCAATTTAAAATGAATGACTACAAGCTAATTTTATCTCCATTTGGCTACCCATCCATCAGAGAGATAATTCATGATATATTACAACAAAAGGCAGCTGGAATTAAGTATTTGAATGAGACTCCAGCTTATTTTTAATATTTTGATTAAAATATTCTTCAAAAGAACAAAAACTATGGTTGATATTTCAAGAAACATATTACAGGATTCATCATTTAAATTCAAGTAGCTGAATACATAATGCCTTCAATGTGTTGCAAATTTAGAAGTATTGAATGAATTCTAACTTCAAAAGAACAAAATCTCTCCTTTTCTTTTACTTTTAA